AACTTGGTCCTCTGCCCTGGTATTGCTACTTAAGAGTACGCTTTGTAATAAGAAAGAAAAATGAAAAAGGAAAGAAGCGGGAGAAGAGAATACATGCGGAAGAAAAGGACTTATAAGCGGTGCTGCTAAGACGGGAACCTTAAGTTACGAAAAAACGTATAACCCTTGCGCGTAACATTACGTGGCTCCGCGTGATCCCGCGCGGTCACTACCGTAACAACTTGTCTTGATTAAGTTTAGCTGTTATACATAAATTAAACGGGCCGACTTGTTTCGAAAAAAGTTCAATAGATTAATATAGAATAAAGTCTTAGCACGCTTAAAAATCCTGTTAGACCGGTATAAAATAGTCTTACGTGATTAGATGATTAACTACCACCACAACTATTAGAATTTATCTTGGGTCACCGTTAGTCACAATAAAAGTTATAAGAGTTCTAGAAGTTATTAAAGGTTATAGAAGTCATAAATGATAAAAGTTGAAAAGATTACTATAGCAAAGGACCAAGTTCTGTGTAGTATTGTAAACGGGCTATCTACTCGATTTACAAAAATCTTTATATATTTAAGTAAATTGTAAAATAAATAATAATACAAACTGAATAAATAAAAAAGTAATTAATGCAAGAAACAATTTATTAAATAATTTATTATAAAAAAGAAATCTCTTTAAACTCTTCTTTTTACCGGGGAGACCCTAGACCTTTTTAGAATTACTTATGTTTCAATAATTTATTTGTTGGATTGCTTTCAAGCGATTAGGGAACATATTCGTAACTTCGTAACGGTCGTTAAAGTACTTGCAATTGCAAAACACTCGGTTGTAAAGGTATTTGAATTCTGTCTGCTCCTCAAGGTTCAAGGGAGCTGATTCCTTTTATATGATTAGAAGGAATCACGTGCACTAGCTAGCTACTAGGTTTTCTATTCAAGTTGGGGGTCCTTTGGGCGTTGAGCCATGACATGCTGAGCGAGGCATGCCAAGTCACCCGTGAACCATGGTTCACGGGTGAGCTCCCTCAACTACTACTAGCTAGCTAAGGTTGATATGGACATACCGACATTATTATAAAAGGGGGACCTGTTTAAACCCCCCTCTTTACTAAGGAAACTCCAGCCCCCTTTGCGAATTGCTTATATTCAATAATTCAATATAAAGGGAGGACCCCCTGAAATCCCCCTTTTAATTCAAGAAATCCCACACCCTTTTGCGAATTACCTATATTTGTTTATTTATTATGAAAGACCCCTTTAAACATATAAAAGTCTTGGCACGCTTAGAAATCCTGTCAGATCTGTATAGAATAGTCTCACGTGATTAGATGACTAATCAGTACTACAACTAATGGAGTTTATCTTGGGTCACCGTTAGTGAT